AAAAGAAAGTAACATGCCATGGCCATGCAAGGGAAGACAAACAGTTAGGTGTTATTTGTGTATCATGGTGCATGTTCTTGATTTCTAGTTAATAATTTAACTTTTGTTGTCTTCGAATATTAAGTAGAAGTTTAGAACAACATTCATGTTTGATTAGGAAAGGAAGGAAGGATCAGAAGAAGTTAGGTTAGGGGATTTATTTTTAAAAAATAATAAGAGTAAGAAAATGACAATTGAAAAGGAAAGGTGAATAAAGAAATGGGGCAAAATATATTAAATAATTAATTAGGTGAACTCATTGTCGTTGAGGGTAGGCGTGGGGACCACAAGCTGAGTGAAAGGTGGGGACCCACCGCCGCAACGCGCACATGAGCCTACGTCGGACGGCTGCCAACTACTGCCCGAAACGAGGGGAGTTGGTAGCGTGTTGGACAGAGACGCTGTCCTGTTTTGTATTTTTCATAAATAGAAAATAAAAATAACATACCCTTTGCTTGCTTTTCTCTATTTTGCCCTTCCATCATCAACAAATTTACAAACCTGTCATTAGTATTTAGACTCCTGATTACACTTCCATAATGCGATTGTAAACTTTAACAACTTACTAATTAAGTGCGAGTTGACTCAATTTGAGGTAGAAGTGTAAATCGAGTCAGGTTATTATCTAAATGGGTTGATTGTTTAAAACATGAGCAACACGATACGGCACGACCTAGGTCGTTTATAAAAAAAAATAAAAATAGAAATTCATATAAAACATAATTGTAGAATGACTTAATAGTTCAAGATCGCAGCATCTCTAACCTCTTTATATACTCCTTAGTCAAACTAACATCTCATAATTTGAATCAAGCTTAATTTAAAAAAAAAAATGAATTTAAACATGTAAGTGCACTTCGGTGGCGTGTAAACTTAAGTAAAAAACGTAATTCATGAATTCAATAATTAGCATCAATCAAGGAAAGCGAACCTTAATTGTTAAGCTCTCGGCAATGTTTTCAACCCTAGCATAATAATTAGCTGGTTGAACCTTTGTGATGCCAAATTTCCCCAACCCCCACTCTTAAAATGATTTGTAAAATCTGACTAAAACTTTTGTATTATTGGGGTTGGGAGGGGACAGGAGGAGGAAGGATAGGGCAATGTGGAACATACAATGTGAAATCATTATTAGCCTTACACACATGTGTAATCCATATTCATATAACATGCACATTATTTTGTCATTAAAAGTAGGACATGCTGTGATCTAACAACAGTTGGGATATAATAATACCTTTCCACCAAACTAAAGGTTTGCATATGTTGAATACAATTGTTTAATAATTGAAACCCTACCAAAGGCCATTTTAGTAAAATCAAATTCAAGATCTAGAACAAAACCTAGAGGACCCACTATAAAAAAAAATTATAAAAAAACCCACATATATATATATATATGTGTGTGTATATCATGCATATATAATGTTGGTGGAAGTTGAACCCATTACAATATGAGGTGGAACAATAATTACCATATTGAGAGAGAGATTGAGAGAGAGAGAGAGAGAGAGCTTAAATGATTAAGTGAAAACAAGTCTTGGTAATCAATTTTTCTCGGCATAAATATCTCCATGGAAGCTTCCGATGCTTCTACCTAACACCCTTGAAAAAGAAAACGCAAAGTAGCAAAGGGTTGAAAAGTTGGCTCCTTTTCTATGTGGGGGGGGAGGGAAGGGCCATTGTTTTTCCCATTAAATTTTATAAAAAAAATTAAAAAAATTAGTGGTATATTGTTTTTTGGAATTTTCTGGTGTGTCCTTTTGCTCATGACCATCCATGTCTTGAGACCCTTTGATTGCTTTTGGGAAATGCAAGTCTTTCTTCTTTGGGAGATTTCGCTTTATCATTTTGTCTGCCTCTGCTTCTGCTTCTGCTTCTTTTGTATTTGTATTTGTTTTTGTTTTGCACTCATCTCCAAACTAAAAACATATTTACGTTGCTAATACATCCACAACACATGATACTAATTACTCTATTAGTATATAATTAATAATTATTTCAATGATTAATAATGTGAATTTGAATTTGTCGTTCTGGTTGGACCCCAGTGACATACATAACCATTTTAATGAAGAAATGCTTGTTGATAACAATTGGGTGGTGGATATGAGTCTCATTGACCGTACACATTTGGTCAAGTTTATAATCATGAGGCAAGCACGAGAAATTTACAACTTGATAAACACGCTAAACACATTTATAATCTTGACATACTAAATTCAGTTCGAACCCTAATAGGGTGTGTTAATATATTTCTGTATATCTAGATTTTTCTGACGCTAGACTTGAGCGTGGGAGTATAAACACAATAAGAAAAGTTCACGAAGACTTTAAACCCAATTGTTTTTCATAGCATTGCTCATTTCCAACTATCTGGGCATACATGTACTCCTAATCTTAGGTGTAGTTTGAAATGATAAAATGAAAAGAAAGACACTCTGTCATCCTAAAAAGAAGAGGAAAATAGGTAAAAGTTGACAAAATTTTCTACAAATAAAGCCTTCAAAATTCTTCTGGTGGCATGCCAAATTCAAAAATCTTATGGTCTCTTAAATTTGGACCTAACATTTCGAGCTATAAGTTGTTGGGGGCACAGATGACAGATCGGCAATCAAGCCATATGGCCTTGAGCAGATTCTTCAAGGTTTGAGGCCTTCAACTTAAATAATTATCAAAAGAAAAGAAGAAAAAAAAAGGCAAAGAGTTGACTCTTCAAGTGTAATCAATTTGTTAGCAGAGACTTCAATTCATGAAATAAATTTTAAATCTGTATAATCACCGACTTCATGTTTCATAATTCAACCAAAATATTCCATATTGTTTATTAATTTCTCATTCCACCAATATACATATATATAAATGAAGGTAGCTGGTAGCACCAACCTATAAGCAAATATTACCAAAGCAATGTTATAAACTAATGCAACTAAGATATAGGAGATAGTAATGTAACTCAAATATATATAGGAGATATGTATTTGTTCTAGATAATGACATGTTATGTTATCAGACGATGATTTTACATTTTATATTAATTGATTTTTCATCTAATATATCATAATGTGTAGTAAAAGGACAAATCTTTTGAAAAAAATTCATGAAAGGTTTTTTTTTCTTTAGATTAAGTAAAGGAATACCTTTAGACTAGAATCAAATTCTTGTCATAGAGTAAAATATTATGCCATTCAAGCAAATAAGACTACACAATATTCATTGAAGGTTTTATTGACTTCAATTCAAATGGTTAAAAAATTCGTTGAGATATAGGGATTTTTTTAAAATCAATAAAGGAGGGAGGATTCAAATTTAGGACATCTTTCAATATTGGCATTGAGGAACTCATGGATCGGGGAATTGAAGAATAAGGGAATAAGCAATATGAATCAGATCAACTATTCCCCATAGTTGATTTTATGCCTAGTTTTGAGGGTATTTGATTATGAATTTTAACATGAAATTCTCATAATTTTTCATTCCTTATATATAAGTAAAAGCAGGGGAAGTAAGGAATTGAAATCATTCTATACCCATGTGTTAGTAAACATAGAGGAAGAAGGAATCATAATGATTCTGAAACCCATTACTAATATGTAAGCATAGAAGAAAAGTGTCACTAAATCAATAGCAAAGGGGTGGTGGGATAGGGGGTTAGGTTCATGCTTGTTCCAAATGTGGTAATTGGGGTGATAATTCGTACACTACTACTTCAAACTTCATAGAATGAATTCCCTTCAAACTTATTTGGAAAAAAAAATGGTGGGTGTTGTGCATAATGAGAAAAGAAGAATCAAATTATTAAGGGCCCCAAATCTAGCTAGGGTTTTCATCTGCAATAAAGGAGTATGGTAGGTTGGCTCAAGGCTTTGATAATTAAAGTTAGGAGGTTGGTAGAGAGAGATGGTACACTACGGACAGTTGTTAGTTTCCTTCACGCTTTTTAAATAGGTTTTTTTGGGGCCTTTTTAACTAAAGAAGTGATTGGTTACCCACCACCACCCCTATCTTCCTTATTTCTCCTCCTCTCAGAGCTTATCCATTTCCTTCAAATGAAACTCAATCCCTTGCTCAACAAAAAGACAAACCCCAATAAAGAATCTAAGTATTATTTCAAAAATCAAAATATGATCAAATTATTGTGAATTGAAATATTATATTGAATATAAGAACCATTTTGCAGGACATTGAAAATTTAAATTAAAAAAAGAAATATGCTTTTTTTGAATATCTCCAATAAGAGAGAAACACTTATGTGCAACGTGGATAACATTGTTTTGCTATTTCCGATCAATCACGTTATGCTATGTGTGATAATTTTTCTACTTGGCATAGCGTAATTGGTCGGGAATAACAAAACAGTGATATCCTCGTTTCTTAAAAGTTTTTCTGCCAATAAGAGAAGGGGGGGGGTTAAGAATTGACTACTACATTATTGTGTTCATGTGAGAGTTTCTGTTTGACAGAAGATGTAGAGTGATCAGTTGTGCTTGGAAGAGAAAATACAAAAAAAATCTCAGCAACCCCTTATTTTGAGTACATAAAGAGGCCAATAGGAACTTATATTATTTACCAACCCTTACCTAAATTTGCAGGTAACAACAACCACCATAACCTGGCTAGCATTAACCCTTTTGATTTGAAGATCTGGTATGAATCTGACAAATCCCAATTTGTCCTCTCAAATGGATAAAAATAAAAATGAAATAGAATAATAAAACACTTGGCCTTGGGTAGACAAACTCATTATAGTAAAGGATCAAAGACATTTCCATCATCAATCAGCTGTACTGGTATTATACTAACATTCACTAAGAGTCATAAAAATTAGAGGCAAACGAGAAAATAATCAGAGAGCTTTCAAGGGATATAATTAGCAAAAGCAATCTCTTTTTTTCTCATTTTCTCTTCCCACTCGGCCCCAACTACATGTGACAATATTTTCATGACCTGAAAAACCAGTCTCATTTCATCTCCAAGCTTCTGTAATCCAAAACCCCACTTTTCAAGCCCAAGAAATCATAACCAACATTGGTGGTGCCACTGGTGGTGCTGCTGCCAATAGTGTCAATTCCACAGCTGCAATTCTTTGCATCTTGAAGCCCCAAACTGCAAGAAAAGCAAACGCCCCTCCCTCCACTCTTCAAAGGATCACTGGGTTGTTGTGGCTGGCAAGGAGGGCTGATTTGGAGCTCAAGGTTCAAGTCTGGGCACCTTTCTTGAACTGGTTTTTTTGAGTCTTTGCCCAGAAGCCCATTAATAATGCTGCTTTTTTGATCTTCTTCTTTGATATTAGCAGAAGCTGCAAAAGAAATTGTGGTGGTAGCAGAATCCTGAGCTGTCTCATTGAGTGCTCTGTGAGTTGTAGGGTCGATACCTCTGGTCAAAAGTTTCCTTCTTATGTGGGTGTTCCAGTAGTTCTTTATCTCATTGTCTGTTCTTCCAGGTAGTCTTCCAGCTATCAAAGACCATCTGTAACATAATCCAAACAAAACCCATTAACGTTAAACAACTCAAAAACTTGAAAGTGCAAAAACTCTGTTCCAAAAAACAGAGGATATGATTTGTTGGGCTTACTTGTTTCCGAGGAGGCTATGGAGTTTGATGATGAGCTCATCTTCTTCTTCAGTGAAATTGCCACGTTTGAGATCAGGTCTAAGGTAATTGATCCAACGCAGCCTGCAACTCTTCCCACATCTAAGGAGACCAGCAGCTTTGGGGAGTGAGCGCCAGCAGCCTTCGCCATGGGCTCTGATGTAGGCAATGAGGCGATCGTCTTCTTCTTTGGTCCAAGCTCCTTTGTTGGTGTGAGCCTTTTCACAGCAAGGAGATCTTCCCATTTAATCAAAAACTATATAAATAAAAAAAGTTAAAGACTTTTTAGAAGAAGAAGAAGAAGAAGAAGTAGGAGCAGCTAGAGCTGTTGTTGTTGTTGTTGTTGTTTTATGTTGTGTTTTTGGTTTTAGCTACAGCTGAAGTAGTGGTGGTGGTGGAGGTGGAAAATGGAGGCCTTGTTTTTTGTATTGCTGCAACATAAAGGCCGGCCCTTGCGAGGAATTGGCGTATGATTTTATAGCCTTTTGACTCAGAGAGAGAGAGAGAGAGAAGGGGCCCTAATTGCTTCTAGATGTGAGTTGGTGAGACAGGTTAGAGGGAGTGGCTGGTGGCCTCTCTGAGCTCTCTCTCTCTCTCTAACTTGATATTATTATGGCATCAATCACATATAATAAGTTAAAGGGACATTAACCACGGCCCTACGAGTAACCTTCAGGTAGGTGTAAAAGTAAGGTAATATAAATATAAAATCACATCAAAAAAATAAATTAAATTAGGCAAAGACATGGTTTGATTTCTGCCATTCTTTTTCTCATGTCTCAAAACTTTTTAGATTAAATAATTCCAATTACCCTCTTCTCAAAACTCGCCCAGACAACATATACAATAATTACACGTATACATGGAACTTATATTATAACATTATATAATATTAATGGTGTAGTTGGTAAACTTGGTACCAAGTGAATTGATCATACTGGCCTATTTCTTGCAGATCTCTCAGTACTTTATCATTTGTCCCGAGGCAAATTTTTGATTCTTTCAGCTGGTTTCTATTGCCCCACAGTTGAACATTTTGAATGCTTCAGAGTTGGTTCCATGGAATGTCATGAGGGGGTGAAACACTTACATGAAATAGGGATGACACTATTTTTTTAATTTCTGACCAATCATGATATGTCATTCGTGATAATTTTTTCATATGACATTTTGTGATTGATAGATAATAATAAAATAGTATTTTCCACGTTTCATACAAGTTTGTCTGCATACGACCTATCTGGGTAAATGTGGATTGGGGGTTTTGTACTGAATCAAAATTTTTTAGGGCTCAGAGATGAAAGGGAGCTAGGTTTAGAAAGTAATGGCTTGTTATTTTAATAAGTTGGTTGTAGTGGGTTTTTGGGAAGAAATGTCACAAGTGGTTTGGCTATTCTTGTGCATGAGTACAGAGAGGGTAGTTGTGGTTCTTTATTCTATTGGTGATGCATGAGAGAGAGAGAGAGAGAGAGAGAGAGAGAGCTTCTAGAAGGGTTAGAAGTTGGGTTTCAAGGGCAGGATGATGGAAGAAAAGGAGAGAAAAGGAAAAAGATAATGAGTGTGGTTGTAGTTGTATGTGGGCTTTGGTTCACCCTCCACTTTTCCTTTTTTTTTCTTTCCCCCAACCTTGTGGTGCAAGTTTAGGCAACAAGGGGTAGGGTTAGGGATGGGAAGGTTGATTCACCTTTTTGTTGTTATCTTCCTCCCCCTTCCAATTTGCAAATTATTATTATTTGTTACCCACCACCACACCACACATACACACTCTCTCTCATCATGAATTTCAAGTGGATGGTAGGAGTTAAGGATCATGGGCAGAAGTTGTTTTCAGAGAGAGAGAGAGAGAGAGGTCCACTTGTGTTATTATCTGTGTGTGTATTTCACCTACCTTTTTTTTTCTTTTCTTTCATCCTTTCTGACTGTCCTATGGCACCCAGTCCAACTTCCTCTTGCCTTCACTCTTGATGTTGAACTTTGGCATGATTTATGATATCTCATTCCTCCCCACAAGGTACTTCTCTCTTTCCTTCACAAAACCCACATAGCCTTATCCATATGTTATGCATTAAGAGAAATGATAAAGCCACTTCGCGGTGGACAACTCTTAAGCTGCTGATGCATATATTGTCCCAAACATGGCTCATAAGTGCAAGTGGACGACTCTCAGCTGTTGATGCATATACTGTCCCAAACACAGCTCATAAGCGCAAGTGGACGATTCTCAACTGTTAATCCATATATTGTCTCAAACACGACTATTTGCATTAAAGCCACATAGTTTGTATGTAACTTTCAAAAAGAGAAAACCCCAAAAAAGTTAAAACCAAATGTAACTTGCATTATTGAATGTACCTGTAAAAATAAATCTCCAAACTCTTAACGAACTGAACTCAATGATTGAAATCTGTTAGGTTGTGTGTAGACACCAGAGATTAGCACAATGGTCTCTGTCTGCAACCGGTTTTTCCAACAAAATGGCCACATTAGCACATGTACAACGCAAAGAGAAAGACAATCAACGTGGAAGAAAAAAAAGAATCAAATCACAATTAGGTAAATGGGGTTTAAGGGGCTATGAGGAGGAGGGTATGGCTCTAGATCGGCAAAATTTTGTATGACAATTATGTATGGTGAGAGCCAGCACATCAACACGTGGAGGTCATGTGCTTAGGTATAGGACAGTGGAGGGCTGTCCTAAAACTCTTACCTACCTCTTTGGCTGCCCTCTCCCCCCCCATGTGGGGCTCTCTCAACCTTAAGCGCAGGGGAGGGGGTCTATTTTTCAATGACCCACATGGTGGATAAAGCTTCTGAAATGGCCTCCTCCTAATTACTTTCCTAGTATTTGGTACCATTTTTTACATAGACAACGTCTATTTCTGAAACGATTAATTAATTTAAAATTTTGCAACTCGGATAAGAACTTACATGTAACGGGAATGCGACGGTGGGGTATCCCAGCATCAATTGGGATGCTGGACTCAACTCAGTTCATGAGTTTTATGGCATAAGGCTGTCACAGGGACCCATTTTGCCACCAAGCTGTCACATTGACTGATACACCATCTTCCATCTTCCTATCACAATCTGACTGACCTTGTTTTAGGGATTTTACTTTGTTTCGAGTTAGATAGGTAAGGCCCCTAAATGGCACAAAAAACAAAAGGTCTAAAAAGAAGCGGATGAGCTACCAGAGTGAATTAGCTTAAGCAATGTATAAAGAATAATAAGATCCCTAGAACATCACACCAGTATACAAATGTAGAGCGCTTGTAAATCTGCACACAAGCCCCAGATGCATGCATGTTTGTAGTACAGTAGGAAACGAAGTAATCTGTACGCCTAACAATCGAATGCATACGATAATCCGCTCTCTTTGAAAGAGTAATCCATGCGTTATGTTATTTACTTCAAAATGAAGAAAAAGTTCACTAGTATCTTTCTACTACACCAATCTAGCTACCAAGCTGAAAAGGCATGTGACAATCCTCCTTTTTATACAAACCTCTCGGTTAAACCCAAAGAAAAACCAACAGTTATAACCATAATCAATGTCATTTATTCATAGGGGATCAAGGTAATCTCCAGCCGAAAAAGTAAAAAACAAGGTAATCGGCTAAGCAAGTCTACTTCAGTCTTTTCTTAGCTTCATACAAGTAGCCTAGGATCACAACAGCAGCAGCAACTGCAACTCCTACTGCACCTTGTGCCAGTATGGTGCTGTCCTTTGCTGTCTTAGTAGAAGAGGAGATTGGAGTAAACCCAAGCTCTGAAAGTTTTTTATGTGATTCAGCATAATCTCTAAAAAATGCGTCTTCATCCTGCACCATATGCCAAATTTACGTAAGTAAGAAAAGGAATGTCAAAAGAAAACAGATCTATAAACAGACAAAGATATCTTATTTTAGGAAACATCAAAGCATTGGGATGGCACAAGACACAATATGGTCAGGATCGCATTCACTATCCCAGCCTTGCCCTAAAAAATTTTGGTTCCGTTCCCGCTCCGCATCCCACTTCAAGGTAAACATTCACCGCCATCTATGCCTCAAGGGGTGTATTGATTCCCTCCTCGCATTTTCCGTCCCACCATATTAGCTAAACTATTGTAATAATATCATAAATATGCACGGTAGGACCAGACAACACAAGAGAAGACCATCTACATCATGCCTCTGGTTTTAATTTTGAAACTCATCTCCATGAGTAAGCCTCCCCAGTTGGGGCAGGCCCCAAACCTTCTCATGTGCATCACTAGCCAAGTAACAAAGTTTAATCAATTCAACCAAACACCAAATTGGGGGTTTGGTATCAACCACAAATGGTTCCTGCCCCAAGACCCATCACAAATGTGAAACTTAGCCAAATTAGCCTCAGCTTCGAAGGGTCCACAATCATCTGAAGAGGTGTTGTGTTACTGCATAGTAGAGCAAGAGCCTGATCTAACCCAGTATCAGTTAAATCAATTCAGAGAAAAGCCCCGCCCAAATTGATGTCAATTTTACATAAAAGCATAATTCACAGGAAAATAATTAAATTTTTTAACTTTATAGAACAAGGAGAGGAGAGATGATAGGATTGAGTAAGCTCCCCTGCAAGTTGGTGAAAGAAAAAGCTTTCAATCTGCCCAAACCTGTTGTTATAGGATTGCTTACAACTTACAAGGGTAATATAAGCAGTAAGGCATCTTATAAACGGTTTGAACTAAATTTTCCAGTTCCCAAGTGATTGGCATGTCAGGGTTGATCAGTTGATCAGATTATATACACCACGAGAACATGGGTAAGGCCACATTTGATTATTTCGTAAGGGCAGCAACCAGCTTCTATAATAACAAGGACTAAAGTAATTCTAAGAATTCTGAACCAAGAGTGTTAATATAAACAAGCAGTGATAAATTCCCCAAACATTTTTTCATAGCCAAATAGAACTGAACAAGCCCAAACCCAAATTACCTTCGCATACAGATCAACATATTTACGGAACTCAGGATCTTCCACTAAAGCTGCATCTGTTGGAAGTTTCAACAGCCCCTCTGATTCCCCATTTAACAGTTCCCTGGTATCAACAACAAATACGAATGAAAGTTCATAACCATAGACACTTATGCATAATGCATAATGAGTACATATGCATGTTCATAACCACACCCATGTTCAAGTCTTACACAAAGTATAAGTTATCGAACTGCAGAGGTTCCTTAGTCCAAGGACCATCAAAACCAGATCTCTCGGGATGTGCCCTTCCCTATGACCACAGAAAATGACAGAGAGTAAACATGTCTGTCAAATACAAAAGAAGACCATATATAGATGCAAACAAGAAGGAATAATTACCAGTGTATGACCCCCAGATAGTGCAACAATATCCTTGTCAGACAACCCCATTCTGTAGAATTTTTCCCTCAGATGTGGTGCACCTATAAACCCAACAAGAAATTCAACTCTCTTTTATGGAAAAAAAATTGTCATCTTCCAAACAATTTAACTGAAAATCATATGCAAGCAAATGACAAGCAAACACAAGCAAGCGTAACAACTTCAGCATGCTTAAATACATTAACAAAGATAGAAGAGAGAGCGGGGGGAAGGGGATGTGGGTTGAGTTGTCACATGAAAGCAGCTTAAAGCATGGGATAATTGAGAAATCCCAATTATGAGTTATAATTCAATCAAGATGCTAGTATATAAAGCAAACCGGAATACCAATACATTAAAGTAGGGTGAAATAAAATTTGCAAAAGTGATCTTAGGTATTGGAATAGACCTCGTTTAGCATCTGGAAGTCGTCCTTCCTTAGGAGAGATTTTTGAATCCTATAAAGGACCAAAAAGCAAATGAAAACTTGAAAAACAATGATAGGGAGACTAGCTATGTTTCTTGAAATAACTGATCATTGACCACAACATACCTTTCTGCCAGGAGAAAAATCAATGGTGGGGCCTCCAGTCAGCTCAACTGCAACAACACCCGCAAGCTGAAAGTACAAGTAATCATGTCCCTTAATCAGTATCTTCATTAAAGAATCCACGCTATGTCCAACAAATTGAAGGGAAAAAACTCTTATGATCTTTGTAAAATCTCTTAATTCGCAAGTGGATGAACTAAAATATAGGAAGAGTAACTCTTGAAAAACTATAATCACCTGGTAAAGGTCTGCATATGAAATCCTTGGATGCTTAGACTTCACTTCCTCTGACACCAGAAAGAGAAGCACCCAGAAAAAAGAATAAATAAATGAAGAAAGCAATGAGAACATTGTATAACAGCCATAAGAATGGTATTTTTACTACACAAATATTGGCAAATGTAGGTAACCTCATATGAAACATATTGACAACTGTTATACATGCTTTCTTATGTGCGGTTTCAATGTAGTTCCCTTTTCTTAGAAATGAGAGTCTGAAGCTAAAGTAAGCACAAAGCGAATGTAAGCACAATGCGAGTCTGCTGAGCTACATATGCAATATAGTAAAACCATCTGAACTTGCTAAATGCCCCTTTCATCAAGGATTAGAGCTATTAATTGCAAACAATACCAATAGTAGCATAGTTGCACTACTTAAACAACAAATTATATTTGGGTTCACTGCTCGTATCTAAGAACAACTCCTCAAGATCACAAATAAATTCAAAAAAACAACCCATGAACAAATTATCAGCACACACAACACAGAACAATTATCTTAGTTTTCACTTCTCATGTACCCAGCCTATGTTTAAGGTGTAAATTTTACCATTTATACGATCAAAGGTAAAAAAATCGAACAAATATTGATAAAATGAAGCAACACAAGCATACCGCAAAAATCAATAGCCTTCTTCAAGCCATTATTAGAACCATGAGAGTACTCTTCCTCAGTCCTAATCGACCCATTAGGCCCACCCGTCTTCGTCTTGGCGTCGTAGGTGCCAGCATCGTGCCATCTACAAATTCACATATCCAAGAACAGTCATAATTTCAACAAAATCGACACAAACAATGACATGCAAAATATTTCATTTACAAAAACAAAACAAAAAAAGCTCAATGTGTAGATATGATACACTGAGCTACTGAGAAATCACAGGAAATGAAAACAAAAATATATCTCGACTCAATGTTTCCTTCGGATTGTCTTTTCATCGCAATTTTTTCTCGGGAAACAAACATACAGAGAGAGAGAGAACATACGCTAAGCGAAGCATGAGGGGAGCACAGCTTCTGCTGTATATCAGAGCACGGAGATCACAGCGAGCCTTCTCGATTTCTTTGAGGTACTCTTTATCAACGAGCAGTGACGCCATTGAAGCCCGAAACTCAGAGCTACTGCGACTCGGAGCAGAGAGGAGGAAACGATGAGGGAGAGTGATTGACAGTAATGAGATTGAGATTTTGGTAGTTGGTTAGACTGACTGAACTGGCCGATGGGTTCGCGGGGCGGGTCCTAGTTGAAAAATTCTCGGTGATACCCGGCCCCTAAGTTGAAAATTCCCTTTGCCTCCCGCTGGGTAAACGGGTTACCCAAACCCGTACCCACATTTTACCATATGAAACTCATCCAATATTTTGATTCCTTGGCGAAAAAACAAACCAATATTTTCTTTAGAGTAATTTTTCACCTCTCCAACATTTTTAGTATGTGAAACTCATCCTCATATTTCAAATTAAGAAAAAACTATATATGTATATTTTACATTTAAATAGAGGGACGAGACAGGCGTAGGTTAAGCCAATGCCCTGTACCTTCAAGTTCGAATCCCCTCACGGTAAGGAATGAGGATTTTTTTTAATTTCATTTTTATGTTTGATTTTTAAGAAGAAAAAGAAAAATAAGATCTCTTCACTGCTTGGAAATAATCAAACACAACAAAGCCAAATCCAAGCTAAAACATGAGCAACGCAAACCCAATAATTGATAATACCAAGGATTTTATGTTTTCACTTTGCAATAAGCTTCGCTGTAAGATTATTACAATCATGTACATGAAGAACAAACAAATCGATATGATTTGATGACAATGAAGTATAGAAGTTCCATATCAAGTGGTATGCTAAGACTCAAATCTTGTACCAAGTTCCATCTGAAAGGTTTAAAGGGGAGAAAACAAAAAAGAAGAAAAAGAAAGTTTGAGCTCATTCAGCAGTTCTCCATTGCAGCTCAATCTGGATCTGACCATTCTTTGAGTCTATAAGATGGTACTTCTGGTTGATCCGTTTGTTGGACACAACGTCCGAAAGACTGATCTGAATATACCCCAGAGATTCCTGATTCCCAAAGAGGAAAAAAAAAGGTTTCCATCAGATGTATAAACAAAACAAGGATGTGAAAATACAAAGCTGAGTGCAGAACAAGATAATCACTGTTGCTCAAACCATTGAAATGAAGCATGCGTTCCCAGGCATATCCAGTTTCATCTTGTAAAACAGTCAATACAGGAGAATTTCCAAAGGGCATGCCAATCGGGCATAAGCAGCATGACCATATTGTATTATGACTGAACAATTTATGATATTGTGCAAATCAAAACCATGATTTGCTTTCTATTGTAACGTTACCAAAATGAATAAAGTACCATGAACTCTTAAGCAAAGGGAATTCTAGCCTAAAAGTTAAAAGTTGCATACTTTCTGATAAACTAAAATGCAGCTTGATTGTCCCAGCAACTACATGCAGCAGAATCCATGATAACTGCCCATTTTTCTATGTAAATATTGCATACTATGCAAAAAAGATATTTGATCCACACCTTTGGATGCAGCAAGCCCATTCTTGATGAGGTGCTGACAACTTCCACGTGTAATTTGTCATTGATGGGAGGTTCCTCACACATAAATTGAAAATCCTCAGCCCATCGTGGATCTCTGCTTTTCTTCAGTGGCTGCACAGTTAAAGGGAAATCCATCAACATAATAACAAGCAATCTTAGAATTTAGAAGAACTATCATTTCTTACAACTCCATTCGTTAAAACAAGACGGCCAATTCAGGGTAAAATTTTGGAGATCAAATTGTCTAATGTCACCATTCAAGTGAAGAACAAAGAAGCATACATCCTCGTGTGTGTCAGTGTTTGTATGTGTGTATGTAGGATAAGAATAAAGATGTATGAAAACTCCTTTAAGAATCATAGACTCCTTTGTCCCTTCTCTTCTTTTGACACCCAAAGAAGAAAACCATATAATATTAGGCATAAAAGTCTACACAAGGCATACATTGTAATAACTAAAGGCTGAATGTTGCACAGATCATTCCCATGACCAACCATTTAAGATTACAAAAGAGAAGGAATATAGAGGGCTGCAAGAATCAAAACCAAGATACCTAAAAAAATTTAACAAATGTTCTCAAAATCCTCATACCTTGGTCCTTTTTTCCTCCCCTCTGAAAATAAGTCGAGCAGATGGATTACAGTGGTGCTTTCCTTCAAGATCTTGAGCTTCATGAACTACAATAACAAGCAAACCTCCACCAGCTGGAGTTCCCTCAGGAGCCTTCTGTACAGTCAGTGTTTCTTCAAATCCTTTTTGCATGTCCTCCTCTTTAAAAGGTTTATAAGTCAATTCCACTTCAAGCTGCCCACGCTGCTTCTCATTTTGAGCATCATTTAAGTCCATATTTTTAAGAAGGTCGACAGTCAAAACTTTTGGCTCATCATTGGGTAGATCTTTCAGAGGTACTACATTCATACCCATTTTTTCATGTTTGCCCACCTAAAATAAGGGATAAAATGCTTCAGACATACATAATTAAAACAATACATATGACTTCTGATTAATAAACTGAAATAATATACCTTCTCCCAGTCATAAACAAGAAGTTCTAAAGCCTGAGATTGCGGATCTTTAACAACGATGTTAAATTCCTCATTCCATTCAGGATTCAGGTTCTTGTGCTTGACACTGGTCTTGTGTGATGGAAGATTGTTCTCCGTGAGCTTTAGTTTCACATAAGGGTCCGAAGCACCAAGAAGATCCTTCTTTTTTAACTTCATTGCCCTCAGAACCTTCACATGGAGAATTCCTACAGGCCTGTTAAAGGCTCTGCAAAGTCCAAGTAGTTTTTTCAGCCAAACTAAATAAAAAGCATTTGTCACACTAAATTTCATACAAATGCATAGACGTACTTTGCTGGGTCCATTATTGGTACTTCAAGAGTTTTCGGCCATAGATACATGTTAGCAACCTGATCTTTGATAAGCTCCTGCAGAAAACCCCGTTGTAACACAGTTAAAACCATTATTATGAAACTGATAAGCATCACAGCAAGGAGAAGATTCTTTTGTGAAAAATCAGCTTAAATAATGAACTGCTGCATAAATAGACCCAATCATTCAACTTCCACCACCAATGTAGGGGCCGCAAAATGTAAGAAATAAAGCAACAGTAAGCTTTCCGTAATCTTTCGTCTTACTGATCAATCTATCTATGGCATGTGTGTTTACAAAATAGGGGATACATATGTGTAAAGGACAGAAACAGAGAAAGGAATTCTACCTGGACGAATCTATAAAGGCCAGGTATTGACATAAGATCAGCTCCTATTAGCTTTAATCCAAAATCAACATAAGGCTGCAAAACCACAAGAAAATAATCAAGGAGAAGATTAGACTAGTAATGGAAAGCATAAGATCTAAATAAAAAAAATTCTGGTGGAAATCATGAACCAACACTAAATAGATTCAACAAATAATGTAAAAGATTAATCTGGACTTCAAAAAATGCCCAGGTTAAATGTAAGGTAAAACTTGTACGATAAGGAGGGGCTGCAAAATTATAATAGACCTTATTAACCAGATAATCCAACTCCCAAAGATGCCATTATTAAAATTTTATTTCACCGCAAAACTGACCTTATCCATGAGAGATACATTTATTTGGGCAAAACAAGGAAAGCTTGGAACCAACGGCTTCAAAGTAATACGTGGTGCAGCAAAAACTTGTAAATCCACCACCTGAAATGAACCAGACAATAAAGCAACGACAGAAGCATTTATATCTCTTTATCTCTCTCGTTTCTCTCTTACCTGCATACAAATAAACTAACAGTAGAACATTTTCCTAGCAAAGTAGAGCATAAACCTGAACAGTTGCTTTCAATCCAAATGCTTTCACAGCAACAAGGACATTAGGATTTCCAGCCCATTTTATGGAGGGTTCCATAATCAACTCCTTCTCATCAGTGACATAAACTTTCATCCCTAAAACCAACAAGATGCAAAAATTTAAATGCAAGCTAGGGAAAACACGTCGTATGTACAATATAGGGGTGTGTGTGTGTGTGTGAATATATATCCAAAAACAAACACAAGACCAATAAAATACCTACACTTTAAGTCAACCACTTTTCCCATTACTTATAAGTAATCAAGTGAAGAGGTAGGTAGGTAGGTAGGAAGAAACAACGGCATCTAAGTTGCCTCTCGTGTAAACCTAGTTCACTGATTTGGTAGGGGAGTCCGAACCTTTTTTTTTCCTTACATTCTATGTTTCCAAAACGGATCCTATCAAAAATTTCTATTTTTCCTTTGAATTACTCATATAAATTAGCCTCAAATAGAAAAAAAATTATTTAACAAATTTATTATAAAAAATTCTCCTCACAACTCAAGAACACAGTGAGCTGCCAAAGCTGGATCTGAAGTTCCCAATAATTCTCAGACGAGGTGTTTTTAATAGAGAAACTCTAAAGTGAAATCTCAAGTTTACTAACCTTGAAAAGTTGGTGGTAAGGAACCTAAAGTCAGTGTTTCAAATTCAACAGACTCAATCTTGTACTTCGGAATTTCCTCAGCTATTATGGGCTTTGCAATTTCTTTTGCAGTCTTGCAGATTGCCTACAAAAAAATTAAATAGAAAGCCACGAACCATCAATAAGAAGTAAAGAATAGATGACAAAAGCAAACTAAGATTGAAAACATAATATTCCAAGAACAATCAGACAATATAAAATCACCTTGTCCAGATAAGGCCACATATACTCAAGGAATTTGTTTAGCCAATCAAGCTTCACATGGAAAAGAACAAAATATCAATAATAGTGTAAGTGCTAAAACACCAGGCTGTTAAGACCCATAATAAATGACATCAATGAATAGTTACAAACATTAGTTACTTACACGATCATAGTCTGGATTTTTCACCCAAAGAGGTATCTCAGGAAGCATCCGCTGCAACGTTTCCGTATCTTGATCAACCAAAGGACGAATTTCGGGATTCTGGCCAACCCAAGGCAATCAATTAGACTTAGACAAACACAGATAGGCATGTCATACTTTTCAAACATATGCAACACACACTGCGCATGTTTTTCCAGTTTTTCTTTTCTTTTCTTTTCTTTTTTCTCTCTACATTTATATCCTTTCTCTGTGAAACCCACTTGCAGACATGATGTGCTAAAGGCTTCAAGCCTCTGTGAGTACTGAGTTGTCATAGCTGCAGCAACAAGCACAGAGCACCTACATTGCTTGCTTCATGATTGTGAAGCTCACTTAAGAATCTCTCCTACTCCACCTAAATGCAGGACATATTTGTTTCTGACCAATTTTTTATTTATTTTTATACAAACGATATTGGGGGAGGGGGGAAACGAATCTAAGACCTCAAGTACAGGGTAAATGCTCATTAACAATGCAGCATTACACACTCAGACAGTACACACATGCACATAAGATAAATGTATATATACCAATAGCCATTAATTTCTACGGAACTTGTTATTTCTCTGCACTAAATCAACAACCGCCAAATGGCAAAGAGAAACAAGCCTTTGACAAACTTGCATAATTTGACAAGAAAACGAAAACTCAAAACAAATCATAGCCTGGTTGGTTCTGAGAATTCAAATGAGACACAAATCAATTCACATTCCATTTGGCTTTCTCACAGCATTAAATTCAGCTAAAAGAATCAAAACCCAATATAGAAAAAACAGTAAAATATATCAAAACGAAGGCAAATTGAGGATGTTATATCAAAAAAACAAAATGTAAGAGAGAACCTGAACATCGGTAGATTGGACGTAGATGAAAAGGAAATAGCCAGCCACAAGACCAATCGATATACCAAGTCCAAATCCACAAAACCCAAAAATCGTACTGAAGAATCCCATTTTCTCAAATCACGGTTTTCTCGGCTTACTCTCTCTCTCTATATCTTCCAGAGAACGCTCATTTTCAACTTTTTTCAGATTAGTGCAGATCACTACATCCACATTGCTTAATTAAGAGCAAAAACGTTGAATATTCTGAAGATAACTACGTAATTTTACTTAATTGTCCTTTTATGGAGCCCAAAACCAGGTGGGATTTGGCAGTTTCGAACTGAGGTTGAGGCAGAGGCAGAGGCACTCCATCGCTATTGTCAAGGCTTTTCTGGCCAACTCGCGCCATACGTGGAGTGCAGATCTGATTTGATGTGGGAACAGTGTGGTGGGGTCGTACACGTGGCGGCCTGGCGTTTGGTGTCCGAAAAGATCGTATTTGATTCGACGAGGAGGCCCCACGTGGCTCAATCGGGTAATTTCGTCTACCGGACTGCAGGGCAAAAGCCTGACTATTTTTAAGATGTGTGTGGGCTCCGCAATTGGGGCCCACTTTGATTTCTGTCCTTTTTTGACAGGTGAGCATAGATGGGACTCTGGGTCTGGGACGGCGACGAATGTTTCTATTTATACCCAATTGTTAACTACTTGTTCTACCCGTCAAATTTTCTACACCCAACAAGATTTTAATAAAAGTTCAATAATTTACTTTCCGTACCCAACCAAAACATAACCAATGGCCTTTCCCACCAAACCCACATCTTCTCCCTCAAAATTCAAGCTTAATCCATATTGTTTTGTAATTCCCAATTTTAGGTCATATGATTAATAGACCCCGTCAAGATTTTTTGTCTTGTAAGTCTTATTTGTATTCGTGTCATCGTGTCATGCCAACAATAATCAACACAGTCCCATTAACTTTGTGTCATATACAAGTCGTGGTATCTTGTTGTATAACAATTGTCTTCCTTGGTATTGACTAACCATTACATAAAGTATTTAAGGTTAGTTTGTTATTAATATATGCATAGATAGTTTTCATCTGCACAAATAACACACGTGTAGTATGAGGAGATTATAATACACAACTAAGAGTGAGAATATGTGAGATGAAGGTAGATTATGTTGATTGCAATATTCTAATCCCATTATTTGATTTAAGTGAAAACCCTAGCCAACTCTCTCCCAAAAAACACTCAACATATGTTTTCACTTTGTGTGGGGAGGAAGCCACTGTTCTTCATCCCCTCTCCTCTTCTCCCTCTTCCTCCCTTCTCATATTTTTCCCACTTTTCAAAGACTAAAGGTTTTCCTTATTTGTTTACGTATTGTAATGATTTTCCTCCACTAATCACATGTGGATGCATCTCAGCATCGGATCTCTATTTGTGTTTTAGTGTTGGATATATACCACCATTTTTTATTTTTTTTGTAGTTTCTTCATATTTGGAATAAGTCGCATAGACTGTTTGGATTTTATGTGTAGTTTTCATCTTTCATTTTGTGAGAGTTTTTCCCCTCTCCTTTAAGAAAACTTTATTTGTGTTGTTATGACTTGGTTTTTTCAACCTTTGTTGTTTTGAATTTGCACTCTTAATTGGGAAGCCTATGCTAAAGTTTATTCGATCATGTGCTATCGTTAGTGGATGAGCCCCATATTATCTTAATTTTAATGTTAGCTTGCTCCCTTTGTGGCTAACTTCTATTAGTTAGTGACTTTTTTTGCTGAATTATAAATATATCTCATAATTTCTTTAAAAACATATTTAAAAAAAGACAACCGAAGTCAATATTGATAATCTATTACTTTTATATGTTGGGCTAGATGAATATATATATTTTAAAGAATGTTTGGTTAGATGATAATCTTTAATATTGAGGATTTAATGAAAATTTAATTTATAAATTTGGAATTGCCAAAAAAAATATTGTTTAAAAAAAAATTTGTTTATGATTCAATTAAAATTTGGCGTTAAATACCCAGTGTTTGGTGGTCAATTATTTTTTCTCATCTTTGTTATGTTTCCAGCATTTTGTATTGAAAGATGCGCCACAGACCCATTTGATCTGCTCCCCACGACGAATGACAAAACGCCTCTTCATGATCCTTCGAATTTGATCTGATGTGCTCGCCCATTTCTTTCACCATGTTGCAAATGTTTACTCATATTAGCTATCCTGGAGGATATGGCGTCATAATTTACTTCGTTTGGATGTGGCGAATCTACTAAGATAGTGAATTCGCACGCCTCAACATCAAGTTCTTGACCGAAGCATCCATCTAATTGTGTTTTCTTAGTCACCTTTAGAACAATGTTTTGGTAGTTGACAACTTTTTGTCACTTATAGTATAGTAGCATAACACGTACTTCACATTCACGAAAATGGTTTAGACTATCACCAGTTTATACACGTTGGGTAAATAGTAACGATATAAACATGGGAACACAAATGATAGAGAGAAACTTTCTTGTATTGCAATATATTTTTCTTTCTAATAGATTTCCTACTTGGAACCGAGAGTCTCGGCGGAGGTATTTCTTGAACCGACACCAAAACACCGCCCTCAAGCACCGACGTCTCCGGTTAACTGGAATGAACAGTTGCATTACATCTCGAATTTGTTGGGAAAGCACATCAAACTCTGATGGGCATACTGGGCTTTAGAGTATTTTTTCCTACGTGCTGGACCAATTCATGTTAATAGGAGGAGGGTCCATGATTTGCATATATTAAGTGATAGGCCCATGTGGGATTCACTAAAGTCAAAGGTGAATTCGGTGACCCAATTTTATTCCAATGGATTATGTTTTCTTTTTAATTTTTAAAGTGGATTTTATTTTATCATTGTACTTTTTAAGCGATTAATTTAACCTTTATGACAAAGAGAAAAGTGATTAACCAGTTATGTATCTTTTTCACCTGCAAAAGGTTAAAACCGCAACTGAAACAAACTATTACAGTTAGATTTGATTTTGAACCGTTTGAATTTGTTCTTCATAAAAATCAAACAAGACCAAATCGACCATCACATTTTCAATAAGTAACTTTAGCCGATTTGGCCAAATTGATGTCCACCCTCAATTATATCACTAAAGAGATCTAACGAGGAGTATGGTATAAGAATAATGATTTGGGTAGGGTGGGTTTTTGTGTGGTACCTAGATACATACCTATAGAAGAGGCCACGACTGGAAGGATGTCGCACAAATCCGACATGACAGTGACACCACCAACTTATATATTTTCTCACCCACACCTAAGGATGCAAGTTGGATGGGAAATTCCGATTCCGACTTGTAAATTTCCGAATTTGGCTAGTCTAAATCAGTTATGAAATTTGAAAGTTTTGAAATCTGAAAATTTTGAAAAATAAAATTGGATTGGAATTGGAATGTATTTTAAAATTATGTAACTTCCGAATTCCAAAATATATTATGGTTTCATGTTTAGATTACACTTAATAACTAATTTTATGTTTAACTAAAGGCTTATTTGTTGAAATGGCTCATGTGGTTTTCAAATTTTCTCAGTTTGCCCCCTGACGTTTGAAATGACTCAATCTCCCATTCCGTTAGTTTTTAGATTAAAAACCATTAAACTGCTGATGTGGCATGGTTATGTTGTTAATTTTAACTATTAAAAATTAAAAATATCAAATTGAATATATAAAAAAATGCTTGAAATTATTCAAAAATCAAATATGTAAAATTATAAAAACAAAAAAGAAAGTCTTAAGCTGTGAGATCTAGTTGCCCCATCTCGAAATTACGACTGTTGATCTTGAGCTTCAAGTAGAAGTTTAATCCATTGATAAAATGGCCAAGCCTGATCGGTGATCTTCTTCGTCCCTCACTTTGTGTGTAATCTAGTCCTACAGTGGATGTAATATGTTGGTTTTTAGTGAGAGATATGTTGGGCAAAATAGGGGATGAGATTTGAGGAGATTGGGAGATAGCTGAAGGAGATAGAATTGGTGGGTTTGAGGAAGAGTTTGATGGGTTTTGATTAATTATAATGTCTGTGGCTGTTGCTGTTGGGTCAATGTTGTTGGTGTTTGAGGTTGCAGGAGTTCTGGGGATGAAGATGGGCCTCATTCAACCATGTTTCAAAATTCATTTGCTTTTCTTTGAATAATTGGTTTGGTGATGGGTTTCATTGTTCTTGATGACAAACACGCTAATTCATTTTGGAAATTTATTTTCTTGGTTTCTAATACTGGAAACCAAAAGTTTTAGATAGCGAGCGATAGGGGTTGAAGAAGAAGGCGAGCTTTAGAGAGAGACAGAGGAGGAGAGGGAGAGGAGACGACTGGGTTTGTGTGGGAAGATGAGTTTGGTGGTTGTGGGTGGGATGGGAGGTGTGGCCTGCTGATGATGTGGTTAGGTGTACAGTGGGGTGGTGGTGTGATGTAGTCGAAGAAGATGATGCAGAACTTTGGGGTTGTGTTCATTCTTTTTTGGTTTTTTGTTTTAATTTAAATTTGTATGTTATTTTATTATTTTACATATTTGATTTTGACTAATTTCAAGTAATTTTTTAATATTTATTTTAATTTTTCAATTTTTAATAGTTAAAATTACTAAAATACCCATGCCACGTCAACGGATTTAATGATTCTTATCTACAAATTAACAGAATAGGCAACATTGGTCACATAATGGAAGTTCAGGGGGAGATTGAGTCATTTAAAACATCAGGGGGCAAATTGAGAAGATTTGAAAACCACATGGGGTATTTCAACAAATAAGCCATAACTAAATATGACTTGATGACTAAGTGTCAGTTTGACATTGCTTATTTGGGGTGATAAGTGATTTTTTAAAAAATTTGGGAAGCCCAGCCCGTTTGGTAAACTATGAAAAAATAACTTATTATTAAAAATTACTGTGAGAGAAATCTATAAGAGAAAGAAGCTAATGATGTGCTTTCATTTTCTGATTATGCATGAATCAGTTTCGAAGAGGGCACTGGGTTTGATGATTATGCAAGAATTATTTTCATTATGTGGGAATTAATACCAACAATACTTTGAACAAAAAGTTTACCAAACGCCAAACTGCTTTATCTCACAGCTGATTTCTCTCACAGCAAATCTAACAGAGATTATTTTCACAGCACAACAATGCCAAACTGACCTTAAGTGCATGTTTGACATTGCTTATTTGAGGTGATAAATTATTTTAATTTTTTGTAGGAAGTTTAGCTTGTTTGGTAAACTATAAGAAAATCACTTATTGTTAAAATTTGCTGTGATAGAAAGCTATAGGGGAAAGTAGCTAATGAGGTTCTTTTATTTTCTGATTATGCTGAAATCAGTTTCGAAGATGCGCTGAATTTAATGATTACGCATGAACCACTACCAACAATACTTTTAACAAAAAGTTGACCAGCCTAGCCTATATCAAAAAGGCCACGACCAATTTGCTACTTGGCCTTTCACAAAATAAACATATAATTAATGAAAATAAAATAAGAACGAATATTTGTATAAAGGTCTCCTTTCCTTTATTTTTATTCTTGCAGTCACTTTTTTAGGGTTTCATTCCCCCATTTCCTTCACTCTTTCCTTCACTTCGTCTCTCTAATCGAAATCGAACTGGAATTTCAATCCAAAATCACTATTTAATTCAATCAATTTTGTCTTCGAATAATACAGGTTCGCATTCAATTGGGGATTTCTAGGCTTTATTTGTTCGAAAAATTTGATAGAGTGAACAATCTAGGGTTTCGGATTTGGGGTTTTGCTCCTGCTGAGCTGAATTTCGCAAAGATTTGATCTTTTCTCCCCCTAGGATTCTCAATTTTGATGCAGGGGACAATCGGATCCGGTATGGTGTGATCGCCGCTCCGTGGCGAGCGAGTGAAACGAAATTTGGGGGTTGGGGTTCTTGTATGGAAACTCGGAGCCGGAAGCGGGCGGAGGCCACCTCAGCAGCCCCTTCTTCTTCATCGTCTGGTCGTACCACTCGTTCATACAAGCGCACTCGTCTCTCTGCTTCTTCTTTCTCTTCTGTTAACCCCGCGCCGATCACGACCCGCTCTCGCGCCTCTCGGACCCAAACTGAGCCCGCACCCGCACCCATGGACCCCACCAATGAATCGTCTGGCTCGCGTGGTCGCCGCAACAAGAGTTCTGATAAGGATGGCTCCGATAAAGGCAAGGAGAAGGAGCACGAGGTTAGGGTTAGGGATAGAGAGAGGGAAAGGGAGAGGGAGAGGGAGAGAGAGAGGGAGAGGGAGAGAGAAGCTGAGCGGAACCTAGGGTTGAATATGGATGGAGGGGGAAATGGCGATGACGATGACAATGATAGCGAAGGCGGTGTTGGGATTTTGCACCAGAACTTGACTTCCGCGAGTAGTGCTCTTCAAGGGCTTCTTAGGAAAATCGGTGCCGGATTGGATGATCTTCTTCCGTCTTCGGCTATGGGTTCAGCTTCATCTTCGCACCAGAGCGGGAGACTCAAGAAGATTCTATCTGGGTTAAGAGCTGATGGGGAAGAAGGGAAGCAGGTTGAGGCTTTGACTCAGCTCTGTGAAATGCTTTCCATTGGTACCGAGGAGTCACTGAGCACGTTTTCAGTAGATTCGTTTGTGCCTGTGCTTGTGAGTTTGCTTAATCATGAGAGCAATCCCGATATTATGCTCCTTGCAGCTAGAGCACTCACCCATCTCTGTGATGTGCTTCCGTCTTCTTGCGCTGCCGTTGTCCATTATGGTGCTGTTTCTTGCTTCTGTGCAAGGTTGTTAACGATAGAGTACATGGACTTGGCTGAACAGGTTAGTATGTGTTCTGCATTAATTAATTTGATGAGAATGAAATGAAAATGGGTATTGGTATTTACTCAGAGGTTTTAATGTTGTGCATTTTTAAGATATACTTCGTCGGTACTGATATTTTTGGTTGTTATGATGTAAACAGTCACTTCAAGCTCTGAAGAAAATATCTCAGGAACACCCAACTGCCTGCCTACGAGCTGGTGCTCTTATGGCAGTCCTTTCTTATCTGGATTTTTTCTCTACAGGAGTCCAGGTGATCCAGCTAACCTATTTAGTTTATAACTTATTAGGTATGCTGAGAGAAAAATTTACTTTCCCTTTGGATTTTATTCAACTATTGTTATGTTTCAGCGTGTGGCATTATCGACTGCTGCGAATATGTGCAAGAAACTTCCTTCAGATGCAGCTGACTTTGTGATGGAAGCTGTCCCATTGTTGACAAACCTTCTGCAGTATCCTGATGCAAAGGTATGCTCATCTTTTCTGAGTTTCAATTTTAAAACCAGCACAACTGCTTTCTTGTTTTCATTTCCTTTGCATGATGTGCTCTTTGTTATTATTGTAGGTTTTGGAGCATGCTTCTGTATGTCTGACACGAATTGCTGAAGCATTTGCGTCATCTCCTGACAAACTTGATGAATTATGTAACCATGGGTTAGTTACTCAATCTGCCTCCCTTATTTCCACCAGCAATTCTGGAGGTGGACAGTCATCTCTGAGTACACCTACTTATACTGTAAGTCCAATTTCCAATTCGTTTTTTCAAATTTCAATGCTTGAACATATAAGCACGCAATCTATATACAAGAGGGTTCCAATTTTTACTTGCAAACCATACAGGGCTTAATCCGACTACTTTCAACCTGTGCAAGTGGCTCCCCTTTAGGTTCCAAAACTTTGCTTCTTCTTGGGATCAGTGGCATTCTTAAAGATGTACTTTCAGGTTCTGGAATTTCTTCTAACACATCAGTTTCTCCTGCTTTAAGTAGACCACCAGAACAGGTAATTACAGTTTCATTTGGAGTTTCTCATTGTACCTTCTCAGTTTAATTATTTTGCGATTTTAGCAAATAGAAAAGTTCTGTATTGATCTGAGTCTGTTCCTACCTTGAAACTGTGAGCTATTATTAGATCTGAAAGTTAATATATTTTCTGCATGCGTATAAGTTTATGAGATTGAACCTGATGAATTTGAGTTGGGGTGAAAATGGTGTCGACAGTACTGTTATTTATTTTTCATTATTTTTTATTTTTTTGAATTGGGCTGTTGTATGTTCTTTCATGGGGAGTTCATCCACGAGAGATCATCGATGCAGGGTTTGCAACCTCATGGTGTGTTATGACATCTAGACCCACATGAGACTTTATTGTACCTCTGATTCATGATTGGTTTCTTTATATAATTCCAATGCGAATTTATTTGACTACCCATTGCGTGGCTCGGTTCTTTGAACAGTAACAGCTAAACAGCAGTAAAATCGGATGGTTTATAATTTTTATGGGGGTTCCAAATTGTTAGCATAAAGTTTATTGTTCAACTGTGCCATTTTTTTACACCTTGCAACTTTATCCTTATTTTTTATTCCACTGCCTAGATTTTTGAGATTGTCAATCTGGCAAATGAGCTACTTCCTCCATTACCACAAGGAACCATCTCCATTCCATCCAACATCAATTTATTTATGAAAGGACCTGTTGTGAAAAAAGCATCAGCTAGTGGTTCTGGGAAACAAGAAGACACCAACGGAAATGGTCCTGAGATTTCAGCTCGTGAGAAATTACTGAATGAGCAGCCTGGGCTTCTTCAGCAATTTGGAATGGATCTCCTTCCTGTTCTAATACAGGTAAGTTTTTAGCACTCAGCTGAGTTACAGTTTGTTAGTTGTTGTAGTTGATAAATGATTTTTGTATACTATCCCAACAGATTTATGGTTCTAGCGTTAATGGCCCTGTTCGCCACAAATGTCTATCAGTCATTGGGAAATTAATGTACTTCAGCTCTGCAGAGATGATACAGTCTTTATTAAGTGTGACAAATATTTCAAGGTATCCATATGTCTTAACCAGATCTCTTGATATGCTGATAGCTTTTTAGTACAGTTACTAACTTGTACATTATAAATGATTCTATAGTTTCTTAGCTGGTGTTTTAGCATGGAAAGATCCACATGTCTTGGTTCCTGCTCTCCAAATTGCCGAGATACTCATGGAGAAGCTTCCCAATACTTTTGCCAAGGTGTTTATCAGAGAAGGTGTGGTTCATGCGGTGGACCAACTAATCTTACCTGGTACTCCAAATTCAGTTCCTGCCCAAGTA